TTACAGTTTTTAACCGATTTTGATCAAATTTGGTATGTCTATACAAAAACACAAAAAGAAGACAAATTTTGAATTTTAGCACTTTCCAAATATTAATCACCGAAATATTAAACCTGTAATCTTCCATATTAAAATAGCTAGGGCCTAGCTGTATATTCTACAGCTATATGGAACAATAGGCTAATCACTAGTTATAGTTTATGCAACATATTTATAAGTAATATAATGTATAATATAATTCATATTGTTTTTGATCAATAGGCCCGTGTGCCTGACGACTGTCAAAACGGTGCATAAACTATAACCGATGATTTTTGTTACATAAAGCTTTAGAATATAGTGAAGTTAGTATAAAGGACTGAACTCCATCTTTGCCGAAGAAATTTAGTCATCATGAAAATTGCTCAAAGCAAGATGTGCACTATAAATCGTTATCAACAGAAACAGGCCCGTAACCAGACCAATGTGCCAAGAGGGGCGAATGCAACTTGTTTGAATTTTGCAGTGGAGGGGGGGGCGAAAATAATTCAAGGGAGGCGCCGCCCCACCCCACTCCCCACCTCTGTCTCTTTTACTTGTGGGCCTGAACAGAAAAAGGCTCATTATTCAGTTTCAATCAGCACAATTTATTTTATGTCATGAAGGCATGAAAGTTATATCACACCACTCAATAATCATCATTTCAGCTTTGAAACCATTTTGCTTCAGCTGTCGGCTGTTGTCCTGGCGATCTGTTTCTCTTTGACTGTCGTCAAAGTGATTCTGGAAGAGAAACCAAAATTTACACAAGTGAAAAGACTTAGTGTTCACATTATAGTCTAGACCCACAGTCTACATTGCCCTTCCATATTTTTCTGCAAATGTTAATAATGAAATAACATAAACAATGGTGGCGTTTCATTTGATCTCTAAAGGGGGTGGGGTAATACTGATAGGCATTTAGGAAATCAATGATATTGATAGGGAGAAGGGTGGTGGTGGGGGGGTTTTAGGTTGAAAATCAGAACCAGTGCAAATATTAGAATTAGGAGCCATGGCCCCTTGCCTCACCGTTCAAGCACCAATATGGCGCACACCTTTAAATTATACTGTTTGTTTTGGTGATTGGAAGTAAATAATACTAAATACTAAATAAGTAAATAGTCTTAGAATTTCACATTTATAGAAAAACATAAATCGATCGAGGAAGTGTAGGCCTATCAGAAATGTTGTTGACAGTGTCTCAGAAGCCATAGTGCATGCTCCTCGTCTAGGCCTAGGCTTAGATAGCCAGTGCGTGGAAAGAAACCCTCTCACAAAGTTTCCATATCTATTATATCCAGTTTTTAGACCTGAACATAACACAATTTGCAAAACCCCTGAAATCATCGAATGTACTTACATCGCATAGAAAAGAGTTGTCGTGGGGAGTCCAGTCGGATCGTTTGACCTTTACTTCCCATTCTCTGCGTCTCCTTTTATCCTTAGGTAACCTGTGCATCACTATACCTTCTCCAGATTTGACAGAGCATTTCTATGCCACACATCGAGGCATTCTGTTGCCAGACAAGACCAGGAATTAGGCTTAAACAACGTAAAGAATACCCAGGCTCCTACGCCTAAACGTCGCGGGAAGGGTAACAATATGGCGGCCTTCAATCACGTGACCACTCTGCGCCAATCATAGTTCAGCGCGGCGAGATCACAAGTTGGCCAGACTCTCTCTATATACGGCTCTGCTGGACCAATCATATAAGGTACGATATTGGTTTTTACTTTGATTTGAACTTTTCAATAGAAACTCTTACATGGACTGCTTCAGCTTTATTCATTAATTTTCATGGGAGCACAAACAGTCACTAACTACCAATTCATGTTACCTGGATATAAATCATGTATATATGTTTGATATTTTCTGTATTATGTATCTAATATTGGGCTGAAGCATTTTTAGCTATTATAAAGTTCAATTCAGTTCTCATATTTGTGTAGTAAATGCTCATAGCAGAGTAAATAACATGACAAAATATTAAGGGGCTGAGAGGGGTTTATTAAAAAAAAAAGTATATGATCCCTTGATATAAACAAAATTTCTGATATGTTACAGAAGCAATGTTTCGTCATATACATTATTGATAAGAGTAAACGTTAAATTAAAAATAAAAAACTTTACAATGTTGTATCTTTGTGATTCGGGCCAGTAGGTTGACAGTAGGTTGACAGGAGGTCTATCTTTTCAATGACAAGGTCATTGGCCTACCATATTTTGACAACTATGAGTAAAAGGCAGGAGAGGGGAGACAGGTATGTTTTTATACCCCCACATGAAATGGGGGGCGTATATTGCCGTCACCTCTTCCCGTCCGTCCGTCCACAATTGCTCGTAAACACTCTACAAGGTACAATTCTTGACTGATTTCGACGAAACTTGGTATGGTTGTTTGTAATCACCCAAGGATGAACCCTATTAAAAATCAGACGAATCGAAAAATATTTACTATGAGTTATTGCCCTTGTTCTTGAAACGCTCATAAACACTCTAGAAGGTGCAATTCATGACGGATTTTGATGAAACTTGGTATGAGTGTTCGTTATCGCCCAGGGATAAACCCTATCGAAAATCAGAAAAATTGAAAAATATTTAGTATGAGTAATTGCCCTTGTTCTTGAAAACGCGTTCAATTTTAGCTTGTAAACACTCTAGAAGGGACAATTCTTGACGGATTTTAACGAAATTTGGCTTGAGTGTTGGTTATCACCCAAGGATGAACCCTATTGAAAATCAGAAGAATCTATGAGTTATTGCCCTTGTTCTTGAAACGCTCGTAAACACTCCAGAAGGTGCAATTCATGACGGATTTTGATGAAACTTGGTATGAGTGTTCGTTATCGCCCAGGGATAAACCCTATCGAAAATCAGAAAAATTGAAAAATATCAAGTATGAGTTATTGCCCTTATTCTTGAAAACGCGTCCAATTTTTAGCTTGTAAACACTCTAGAAGGCACAATTCTTGACGGATTGTAACGAAATTTGGCTTGAGTGTGAGTGTTTGTTATCACCCATGGATAAAGCCTATTGAAAATGAGAAAAATCAAAAAGGTATTTAGTATGAGTTATTGCCCTTGATCTTGAAAACCTGTTCAATTTGTAGCTCATAAAAACTCTAGAAGGCATGATTCTTGCCGAATTTTGACAAAACTTGGTTTTATTATTACCGCGCTGAAGATTGAATATTTGTCTTCTAGAGTTTTCACGAGCTAAAGATTGAACATGTTTTCAAGAACTAGGGCAATAACTCATACTCAATTATTATTCAGTATTCAAAGAGTTCAAAAGAAGTGTATGACTGAAGGTTGAATATTTCATACTGGTGATTGTTACTGTACTGCTAAATATTTAAGTTCAGAATCAAAGCTGCCAGTGGGCGTATATTACCTTGTCTGGCAAGCTATCTTTTATATATAAAATTACTCAATTTTAAGTATAAATAATCATCATTTTATTTACAAATCAATCAACTGATCAATCAAGAACAATAAACAATCAATAATAATGATATAAATATATGAATTTCTAAAAACAATTATTAAGTTATAACAATGGGACAATGGATATTCTCTTAACTACAAAATATTTGGAACAAAGATAAGTTATAAAATGTTTGTAAGAGTTGGGAGTTATAAAGAGTATAAAAATCAGATTGGGATAGGGATGGGACAGGGATGGATTTAAAATTTTCACAGCCTAATATTTTGTGTAATTTCTTAATTAATGGCATGATTATGAAATATTCATACAAAACTATTGAGCAACAATATGGCAACTCATTTGGGGCTTCAAATTTTCCATCAACAGCAAAATCAACAGTCCTGAGGTTGCAATAGGAGTAAGTTGCAGAATTTTTTGAACACAAGGTATAAAAATGGAGGTTGCTCAATCATATATCATAAGTTTGATATTGTTGGATTGTAAATTTAAGGAAGGATTTTTTAAAAACAATGAAAATACTATGAGTATCAGGACTTATTTCTAATTGGAAAGTATTATTTAAAGATAAAAACATGTACTATCAGCTGTTCTAGTGGCATAATACCTTATGAAATACACATGTATATATATTTTAAATGTTTTCTAAAGATTAAAAGACTCTGCTACAAAGCAAGCATTGATTTAAACAAGAAATTTCTTATTACAATTTTTAACTGGCTATTTCACATTCACTGAATTAGATCAGATTAACCTTAATGGGTTTAATTGTTTTATACACATAGGGGTCACTGATATTATTAATTTGCACTATTCCAATTTTCTATCACTATCTAATGTCTGTGGTTCCTGCAATTCCACTAAAACTAAGTTTTTTGATTACATTTGTAAACGCAAAATATTCGTTATCACAAGGTCCTTTGCCATTAGTAATGTCATCAATTGCAGGAACCAGACGTCTGATTGAAAATTACAATGATGCAAATTGATGCTATCAATGTCCTCTATACACATAAAAAATGTAGAAAACCTTTTTATAATCCCTGAAACTATGATAATGTGATAGCGATGCCAATTATTGAACACATTATTGTATCATTATAGTGCACAAAACCCACACATGGCAAGTTGGCACCACAAAATCATGATTTTTTTGACAACATAAAAACATTCTTACAATAATAACATACATAAATAAAATAACATTAATTTTCAAGTTTACTGCACAAAGCCCTGTGTTAAATTTTGATTTAAAGGAAATACCTAGCCAAGCCTCTAATTCTACTAAGATTAACACTACTGATATAGAACTTTACAACATCTTCAGTCAGTATATAATTATAAATCAAAAAACACTCCTAGTTCCAAATTTACCTATTTCAAGAATAAAACATCAAACTGATTAAAATACAACTTCAAAAATTCAAGAAATCATCTGAACTTTAATTATGAACGGTAAGCTCCAGAAAGAATGGGCTGGCGTTAATTCAGATTGTAAGAACATACTAAAAATCACTAATTTTCAAACAAAGATCACCTTTCACAACCAATACATAAAGCTATTTGTCCTTTGATATATGAACGACAGGGGCACAATCTACGTAGCAGAGAATGGCTGCCAACACAGCTGAATAATAGTTCGTCTGCTTGTAAAATACACTGTTCAGTATTGATATTATATGAAGGATAATATATATTAGAGGATTTATTTGTCCCTGCACATTGGATTCCATTATTTTCTAAACTTTCTTTTATGTTCAACTCACGGAAATGATTACTTTCACATATAAGATCTGAAATAAACAAAAAAATTTATCCAAAATATATTTTCTATGTGTGTCCTGGATGATTGAAGCTTTCATATGCCCGACTTTTGTTGTTCTAGAAAAACCTGTTCAATTACACAATATTTATATGTGCTAATTGGCAATGTGACAATGACATCATAATCTTGTCAAGAAATATAGGAATTACAGGTAAGAAATATGAAGTGCATGTAGAAGTGTTCCAGTGTTCAAGATACACATATGGAGGCTAGAAAAACATATCTTCATCCATTTAAATGAACAAACCCAGCATCCTGACACGCCTACATCTTTAAATACCTTATTGGGCTCATGAATAGAATAGTGTATGATGTTTACTTGGAAGATCAAAAGGGAATTTATATTTTATGTTTCTGCAATAATGTGTCTCATGAAATTGGTAGCCTATTTCCCTTACTATTGTTTGCTTAGAACTAGATGTTTTAGAATTGTGGTGATGCAGTCAAATCCTTAGACTAATGAAAACAATCTGCAAAAAGAGCAGGACAAAAAGAGCTCAATTGTCAATTGATCATGCTTGTACACAGTCATCAACATTTAAGAACTCTTTTGATTAGGAACTACTTCCACATCACTTACCATTTATTGCACAAACATCACGACAAGACATGCCAGCACGTCCTAATATATTGGTCATCGCTTCTAATGGCGGCCATTTTGATATTTTGGAATCAAATTGGCAGAAGTTTTGGTGTTCAATATAAGCATTCATTCTTTGTAACATTCCTTCTTCTGTATATTCATACGGTAGATATGGTTTAAACTTAAATATAATTAATTCAATTTGAGGTAATAAATCCATGATATTCAATCATGACTTCAGTTGTCTACTTGAATGAAAATTTGGTCACATGGAAAGTTGCAACATTAAAACAAACTGATGCTTTTGAAACTAAATGCCAGGATGATTTCCAGTTAGATATTCAACATTAGCCCAATAGACAACAAAAGAAACATTATAGTGTTCATGATAAATAATGCAATACAATATTGTGATATACTAGTAGATACCTGAGTATCGAGGTTTATGGAAGTATACCACGATATTGTGTTCTGTTATTTAATCTACTCCCAAATTTCACTGTAGGATTTAGATATTCATATATTTAAGGTAATGAGTATAACAGCAGTACATACCCTGCTGTTATCTATAATAGTTTGTAAGGTAGATTTGACTATCTGGGTTTTATTAATAGGTATAGTATATACATGTGGTTCACCAATAAATATCTCAGCGTATGGATGCTGACTTGCTAACTATAAGATAAAGCAAAAAAGGAATTTAATTATATGAACTCAACCAGCTATTTCAGCAGTAAGGGAATAATCATGGTGATACAAACTAAAGCAGATTTTTAGTATATTACAATAATAAGGTTTATGGTCTCTATAAAAGGTTCAAGTGTTCAGAAGGGTGAGCCTGTGCTCATGTTGTGTTACATTAGTGGAGAGCCCATTTAATGAATTCTTTGACCATGAATTTAAAATCTTAAAGCTTCAGTTCAATGAAGACTGAAACAATCTTGTTTACCAGCAGAGTCATGCACCTACAATCTACATGTATATTTATATCTCAAAGCTGAATCCTCAGTTTATCTTATCTTCCTGGTTCAAAGGAATAACATGGACAAACACTTTAGTTTCAAGTTGATAAATACTGAGCTTGCACAATAGGTTCAAACGGATCATTTAAAGATAGCTTGCCAGGCATGTTTAAATACGCCCACTTCCAGCTGTCAGAAATGAAAACAAAGTCTGTATTGGCGTAATAACGAATTCTCAAAAACAGTTCATCAAATTATCATCAAATTCAAACACGAACAAAGTCCTATCGACATACACACATGCAATAACTCTGAAACTGTTCATCTAATTATTACCAATTTCAAACTTAACCGAGATCTCATCAATATATACATGCTTACCATGTTTCTTCGATATTGGATAAAAACTGTAGTCTCTGTCATGCCTAAGTTAAGGGCAATAACCCCAAATACCGTTTCTCCGATTTTAGCCAATTTCGAACTTGACAGATCTCATCAATATATACATGCATATCAAGTTTCATCACGATCGGATAAAAACTGTAGTCTCTATCGTGCCAACAAGCCAAATTTGACATGTTCATTTGATTATTACAAATTTCCAACTGCAGCCTATATCATTCTTACAAGTCAAAATTTGATGTGTTACTACATAGTCAAGGGCAATAACTCTGAAACTGTTCATCTGATTATTCAAACTTGACCATGACCAACAGACAGTCGGACAGACGAACAATTCTGTGGGCATATAAAAACATTAATGTCAGTTGAAATATGAACTATACTGGATTAATCACTTTGTATATCAGATAAAGATGAAGACATCTGATAATAATTACTAAGGTAACTAGATCAATTTCATGCCCAGTAATCTGATAACAGTATATCATAATGACAAGGCATATATATATCATATGTGTGGTTGTTACTGATCATATTATGATGTGATAAATAGTAATATATTGTTGATAGGTTTACTATAGCCATGTTTATGTTCGCAAATGAAACTATCAAGCATTTAGATGTTTAGTGATGTTTGTCTAGTGTGCCTGATATGGTCTTACATTGTCTGTCATACCTTACTTTCAAACAATTACCTCTCTTTGGGTTGGTTTTCCTTTAAAAAATGGTGTATTTTTACTGTTTTGAGGTGGAATGAATTGAGGGTTTATGTAAACTGCTCCATTAGCTATAGCTTCTAATGGTGCTGGGCCTTCATATGGAAAACCTAGACCTATAAACAACTGAAAAGACAATAATAGAATGTATAAACAATACAAAATAAAAACAGTTTACCAACTAGTTTAAGACAAAATGTTTCCAAATTTAGATGCCCGTATTCCTTCAGATGGCTTCCTATTCAAGTCAATCAGTGTCCTTTTAATTTTTCACATAAAGTTTGAATAACAAATTTATCATGACTGGCATCAATACTATTAGATTGGTTAACAGCATTGGAATGCAACTGTATCAGAAAACTTGTCAAGATTACAATGAAGACAAAAATATCAGAAAAAAAGAAATCAGAATGGTAATGTATTGAGTGATGTAGTTGTTCAATGTTTTAATATTCTACCTGAGATTGGGACAATAATTTGTGTAATTCTGGTCCTGGTAATATACCATGATTAATAACGTAACTAGGAACATTCTTTAAATTATCTCCTGCTACAGTTCCATGGATTTCAAACTGTTCTTTAATCAGATCTAAATACCCTCTTTTACCCTTAAAAAACAATAAGGTTGACAAGAGTTTATGTTAAAAATAAACATTTCTTCTGAAACAAGTGATGTCTTCCTTTTCAAAATCCCTAATCCTTGATTTAAGTTTGGAGGAGCAATGATGACAACACTTTATATTAAGTGGTTAGTTGATTTGTAGACTGATGTCATGACCAAAGGAGTTAATAAGAGAAATGATGTTGCTGTATCAAGGACTATGAGTCATCTGATGTCACACAGCCTTGTTGAATCAAGTTTATTAAGTTAGAGAACATTACTCAAAAACTGTTGAAAAAATAATATTCATAATTCAAAACTTCTCAAGATTTCATTTTATAAAAAGAGAGTAGGTGGTTGAAGAATACAAGCATGACTTACTTTCCACATATAGTCATTTTTACCATAAACTACAGCCTGTTTCTTTCTTTTTAATGATTTAATCATAGAACTATTTAGATGTTGTTCAACCACAAAGCCCATAAAGGAATTATCTGGACTGTGAGCTACAATAACAACAAATAAACTTGAGTTGTACATCAATGATTGAGAGGGAATTAGTATTGAAGGAATAAGAGGATAGGTTATTCAAATAAGAATAGGACAATAAATAGATGAATAAAAAAGAAATAGCTCAATGACAAAAATAAATGGTTAAATAAAAAATAAATAGATGAATGAAAAATAAATAGATGAATGAAAAATAAATAGATGAATGAAAAATAAATAAATAGATGAATGAAAAATAATTAGATGATTGAAAAATAAATAGATGAATGAAAAATAAATAGATGAATGAAAAATAAATAAATAGATGTATGAAAAATAAATAGATGAATGAAAAATAAATAGATGTATGAAAAATAAATAGATGAATGAAAAATAAATAGATGAATGAAAAATAAATAGATGTATGAAAAATAAATAGATGAATGAAAAATAAATAGATGTATGAAAAAATAAATAAAGTACATCAATAACAATCTTGACACTAGGATTTTTAATTCTGAAGAAGCAAGATAAGTTCTTTCTTTTGGAACATGCCAATACATTCTGCTTGAACCAAGTATCATTTCCAAAATGATATTGAATCAGATCTCCACTTTTTTAATATATTATACTGTAGAGGGTCAATAGAAAGAAAAAGCATGCAAAGTCGCAAAGCAGGAAACTATGTTTATTTCAGATTCTGTTTATATATTTCTATATTGATCTACAGTTGATATATTGAGCACTATTTTAACAGTGAGAATTTTTTTATAATTGATATACAATTCAATCATTAACCATTTTCAAATATTTGTATTACATCAGTATACAATCCAACCTTATCTGTTACAGTGTTTATAATATATTATAAATCTGATTTATCAATCTGTTTAAAAATAAATCAAAATAAAAATACCCAATAAAGTAAACATCTGTTATTGACAAGTAATAATGGAAAATAATAAAGATTGTGTTTTGAAATACACCAAGAAAATAAACCTAATTAAAAAACAATAAAATATATTTCTTGTGATTGATTAAGAGTGAACATTGCTTCCCTTAGAGAAAATTATGTTCACTGTGCAATAATGCAAGGGTTTTTCAAGGCTGTGCGAACCCTGTTCAACCTTCAGGATTGAATAATAAAATCTAAGTTTTGTCAAAATCTAGCAAGAATCATGCCTTTTAGTGTTTAAGAGCTAAATTTGAAAGCGTTTTCAAGAACAAGGGCAATAACTTGTACTAAATATTTTTCAATTCTTCTGATTTTCAATAGGGTTCATTGTTGGGTGATTACGAACATTCACACCAAGTTTCATCAAAATCCGTCAACAATTGTGCCTTCTAATGTGATTACGAGCTAAAAATTGAAAACGTTTTTAATAGCAAGGACAATAACTCATACTAAATATTTTTCGATTTTTCTAATTTTCAATAAGGTTTATCCTTGGGTGATAACAAACACTCATGCCAAGTTTTGTCAAAATCCGTCAAGAATTGTCCCTTCTAGAGTGTTTACAAGCTAAAAATTGAACGCGTTTTCAAGAACAAGGGCAATAACTCATACTTAATATTTTTCAATTCTTCTGATTTTCAATAGGGTTCATCCTTGGGTGATTACAAACACTCACACCAAGTTTCGCCAAAATCTGTCAAGAATTGTGCCTTCTAGAGTGTTTATGAGCTGAAAAATTAAACGCGTTTTCAAGAACAAGGGCAATAACTCATACTAAATAATTTTTTCTGATTTTCAATAGGGTTTATCCTTGGATTATAACAAACACTCATGCCAAGTTTCGTTAAAATCCATCAAGAATTGTCCCTTCTAGAGTGTTTACAAGCTAAAAATTGAACGTGTTTTCAAGAACAAGGGCAATAACTCATACTAAATATTTTTCGATTCTTCTGATTTTCAATAGGGTGATTACGAATACTCACCAAGATCGGTCAAGAATTGTGCAGGCACGTAGCCAAGGGGGGGGCTTTGCCCCCCTAAATCAAATCTTGTAATCTGTCCCGTCTCAAAATTCAAAAGATTTGATTGGTTGATTATAAATACTAACTAATAGACATATATTATCCTAAATTGTATTCATATGAATCAAACAACCAAACGTAGAAAAAATGGATAAATATTTGATCAAAAAAGACAAATTGCTTGATGGTTCCGACACTACTACGACTGACACTGGTATCAAAACCACAGCGGGCAACACAACGGATGCAGTACCAAGATGCTCTGGAAAGACAGGAGTACCAGGTGACATTAGAAAAGAAGACGTTCCAAAGCAACCAAGAATAAAATTTCCAGCGAAGTCTGGTCGCCATTTTAGTAACAGCCGGTATGTTCGATTTCCATGGCTGAAGTATTCAGTGTCAAGGGACGCCCCTTTTTGATTTCCATGTCGAGTGTTTCACAATGCATCTGCGGGTGCATTCATCAATTCATCACTGAAGGCTACACAGATTGGAAGAATGCTGTAGGTGAAACTGGAAAGGGCCTCGAGAAGCATAACAATTTGAGGTCTCAAAACAATTTCACCAAGATAACGTTGCCAAGACAGAAAAGCAGGAGTACCAGGTGACATTGGAAAAGAAGACGTTCCAAAGCAACCGAGAATAAAATTTCCAGCGAAGTCTGGTCGCCATTTAAGTAACAGCTGGGAAGCCCCTTTTTGATTTCCATGTCGGGTGTTTCACAATACATCTGCGAGTGCATAAAAATTCATCACTGAAGGCTACACAGATTGGAAGCATGCTGTAGGTGATACTGGAAAGGGCCTCGAGAAGCATAACAATTTCTCCAAGATAACGTTGCCAAGACAGAAAAGCAGGACTCCAATCTTGATCTTCAAAAACTATACGAGCAGAAATTGACCTTCCCTAAATTATATGCACTGGCTGCAAGCGTTGCCACATTCGGTTCTAGTACCGCTGTGTGTGAAAGCAGCTTTTCAATCTATGACTCAGCTTCGCCAGCGCAATCTTATTCTTCTTGTCTTCAACAGCAAGCGTACCCAGAAAATTAACTTGGACGTATTTGTTCAACGTTTTGCCATAAAACATACCCGACTACGTTTAAACTAAAACGGCAATTAAAATGTAACGTATTATAACTTATGTGTTTTAACAAAAATAATCTCGAATCTAAAATACTCCATGAAAGTCCGTTTCCCGATGTTTAATCGTCTGTCAAGGTGCTTTGCTAAATTGCCCCCCTCAATTGCACGTTTGCCACCCCAGGACAGGCTATGGGCCTGGAATTGTGCCTTCTAGAGTGTTAATGAGCTGAAAAATTGAAAGCGTTTTCAAGAACAAGGGCAATAACTCATACTTAATATTTTTAGATTCTTCTGATTTTCAATAGGGTTTATCCTTGGGTGATTACGAACACTCATACCAAATTTTGTCAAAATCCGTCATGAATTGCACCTTCTAGAGTGTTTTGTGGACGGACGGACGAACGGACATGGTTGACGGTAATATACACCCCCTCCCCCCCCAAAAATTCCTCAAAAAAGAAAAACCAGACTTGAAGTTCCTGCTATTTTTCATACTGTCAGTGAAGGTCGCAGAAGTCCACAATTTTCCAAAGCAGTAAATTCGATAGAAACCTTATATTGACAAACGGTATCAAACAAGGTTTAATGGCCTGAAACCTATAAATACTAAATTGCAGTGGATCCAGAAGTAAGAATTTCATTTTAACTGTACTAACTAGTACTGGTGTCAATATGACATTAAGATATTTGTTTAAACTTTCATCAACAAATGGCATTGTGTTTAATAAAAGAAACAATATGACCCAAAAAACTTTAAAAATGTAAATAAACAAATTCAAGGCAGTTCGTTTGTTTGTGTTTGTGGCATCTTACACTTAAGTTGATAACAGCTAATGTCAATCATTGCAACTTTTGTCAAATTTGTCTGTTTAAAAAAGTTAAGTGCAGTAAAAGTTGTAGTGCAAAAGACGTGTTCCACTTGTTATTTGATATTTTTGACAGATGTCATCCATCAGCCAATTTTTTAAACTTTCAAATATGGTAATGTTTTTTGTTCAATTCTATCAATTTTAATTGATGATCAGATAAGTGCACAATTTTTATCATGACAGCTAGATTCCAGTGTCATTAAATGTAAAGCATCTGTGATAGTAAGTCTATAAAAAAAATTTGAAGTAATATTCAAACTTACGGAACATAGTGAAAAATTGTTTTGGTTTTAGATCTTGTCCTCCCCATGACGTTAATATTTTATTCTGTTTTGCGAATGCTCGATGATTGAAAGCTGGTTCCGTTCCAAAACTGTCTAAAATTCTGAACAAACAACTAAAAAAAACAAAACAACCTTGTAAACTTCAATCAAGAGTCAGTTTCATCATGAAGCTTTACATTTAAATACATAACATAACTTCAGTATAAAACTTAGTAAAAGATGCAATATGCTACGTGCTATGGTGGATTGTCGAGAGGTTTTCTAAATTTTTGATGTCTTACAGAGATACTTTTCAATTCGATGTCTATGGTTCCTGCAATTCCACTAAAACTAAGTGTTTGATGACGTCACTGAGGGCCTTGTGTGATAAAGCAAATTTTGCAATTCAGTGAAGTCGTCAAGCACTTACTTTTTGTGGTATCGCTGGAACCACAGCAGTTTGAATGGAAATTTAAATGGTGAAAATTGATGCTATCAGTGTCCCTGATACGCATCAATTTTTTAGAAAACCAAACAGATCTACCTACATAAATTTACCATAGCCTCCTTTGACTCTTTTTTTAAACTGTGTAAGGCCAACAATATCTGTATAGATTATATCTACAGGTAATTCTTTCCGACTCTGACATGGGGACTTTGCAGCTGGTAAGTTAGACAATATTCTGAAAGATATCAATAATATTGATCAGTATTTCACGTGCAAAACTCTGTTATTTCCTTTTATTATACCCTAAATTATAGCTTGCAAACACCTAATGTTAGGAGAATCAAAATATATTTACTAATCCAAACTAGGTTATTATTCAACACAAGAAAAGACAATTAAACTCTCATAAAATGTTACTTTATTGTTCATTCATTATATAGTGAATTCTTTGAAAATTATTTATTTGTTGCAATTTTTTTATAAGCATTCATGTTTTTGTTATGAATTATGCTATTGTTTTTATATTGTTTAATCTGATTCCATGGAAACCCACAAAATCAAATCCAAAAACATTTGTTCATTATGTTATATTCTTTAAACTAGTAAGATGGCTGTGAGACAACTAGCAAGATGGCAGAGAGACAACAACAAGCAAGGAGTTTGAGATCCAACAACTAGCAAGGTGTTTGAGATACAACAACTAGCAAGGTGTTTGAGATACAACAACTAGCAAGGTGTTTGACATCCAACAACTAGCAAGGTGTTTGAGATCCAACAACAAGCAAGGTGTTTGAGATCCAACAACTAGCAAGGTGTTTGAGATACAACAACTAGCAAGGTGTTTGACATCCAACAACTAGCAAGGTGTTTGAGATCCAACAACTAGCAAGGTGTTTGAGATACAACAACTAGCAAGGTGTTTGACATCCAACAACTAGCAAGGTGTTTGAGATCCAACAACTAGCAAGGTGTTTGAGATCCAACAACTAGCAAGGTGTTTGAGATACAACAACTAGCAAGGTGTTTGACATCCAACAACTAGCAAGGTGTTTGAGATCCAACAACAAGCAAGGTGTTTGAGATCCAACAACTAGCAAGGTGTTTGAGATCCAACAACTAGCAAGGTGTTTGAGATCCAACAACAAGCAAGGTGTTTGAGATCCAACAACAAGCAAGGTGTTTGAGAGCCAATGACAAGCAAGGAGTTTGAGATCCAACAACAAGCAGGTGTTTGAGATCCAACAACAGGCACAGTGTTTGAGATCCACCAACAAGCAAGGTGTTTGAGAGTCAACAACTAGCAAGGTGTTTGAGATCCAACAACTAGCAAGGTGTGTAGATCAAACAACAGACAAGGTGTTGAGAGCCCACAACAAGCAAGGTGTTTGAGAGCCAACAAATAGCAAGGTGTTTGAGATCTAACAACATGCAAGGTGTTTGAGAGCCAACAACTAGCAAGGTGATTGAGATCCAACAACAAGTAAGGTGTTTGAGAGCCAACAACTAGCAAGGTGTTTGAGAGCCAACAACTAGCATGGTGTTTGAGAGCTAACAACTAGTAAGGTGTTTTAGAGCCAACAACTATCAAGGCATTTGAGATCCAACAACTAGCATGCCGTTTGAGAGCCAACAACTAGCATGGCGTTTGAGAGCAAACAACTAGCATGGTGTTTGAGATCCAACAACTAGCATGGTGTTTGAGAGCCAACAACTAGCACGGTGTTTTAGAGCCAACATGAAACAATATTCTACAAACTTTTCTGGTTGAAGAAAATGATATGAATATATTTGTGAAATTTCACACTTTTATTTAATGGGTATAACAATATGTTTCTAGACATCTCTACCATCAGATATTTCATTTAAAATGTTCTACCAATTTTTTTCTGACAGATAAATTCAAATAATTCAACACTACAATTTTTCTACTATTGATTGACATTTCAAACTATCAACACTATTTAACCCTTTTTTGTTTTATAAATACAAATGAATGCAAAATTCAATAGAATGAACCGATGGTCAATAGAAAATAATAGCAGTGTGACATTAGAAATTCTACTTCATTGTCTGGTATCTATATATTATTAATACAACCAATCTTTTAATCTTCTTATGTCTAGACCTTTATTTATTTCATTACATCAAACATAACATCCTCACTTATAATTACTAGACCTTAATTTGCTTCATTACATCAAATAAAACAACATAACTTGTAATCACTAGACCTTAATTACTTCATAACATCAAATATAACCTCCTTACTAATAATTACTAGACCTTAAGTTACTTCCATTATAACAAATAAAACAACCCTACTTATAATTACTAGACCTTAATTTACTTCATTACATCAAATAAAACAACCTTACTTATAATTACTAGACCTTAATTTACTTCATTACAACAAAAGAAAACAACCCTACTTATAATTACTAGACCTTAATTTACTTCATTACATCAAATATAACATACTTATTTATAATAACTAGACCTTAATTTACTTTATTACATCAAATATAACATCCTTACTTATAATTACTAGACCTTAATTTACTTCATTACAACAAATAAAACAACCCTACTTATAATTACTAGACCTTAATTTACTTCATTACATCAAATAAAACAACCTTACTTATAATTACTAGACCTTAATTGACTTCATAACATCAAATATAACATCCTTATTTATAAGTGCTAGGCCTTAATAAACTTCATTACATCAAATATAACATCCTTACTTATAACTACTAGACCTTCATAACATCAAATAAAACAATCTTACTTTTAATCACTAGACCTTAATTTACTTCATTACATCAAATAAAACATCCTTACTTATAATTACTAGACCTTAATTTACTTTATTACATCAAATAAAACATCCTTACTTATAATCACTAGACCTTAATTTACTTCATTACATCAAATAAAACAACCTAACTAATAATCACTAGACCTTAATTTACTTCATTACATCAAATATAACATCCTTATTTATAATTACTAGACCTTAATTTACTTCCATTACATCAAATATAACATCCTTATTTATAATTACTAGACCTTAATTTACTTCATTACATCAAATAAAACAACATAACTTATAATCACCAGACCTTAATTTACTTCATTACATCAAATAAAACATCATAACTAGACCTTAACTTGGTTCATTACATCAAATAAAACAACATAACTTATAATCACTAGTTAGACCTTCATTACATCAAATAAAACAAATAAATCACTAGACTTTAACAACATAACTTATAATCACTAGACCTTAATTTACTTCATTACATCAAATAAAACATCATAACTTATAATTACTAGACCTTAACTTGGTTCATTACATCAAATATAACAACATAAATTATAATCACTAGACCTTAATTTACTTCATTACATCAAATAAAACAAATAAATCACTAGACCTAAACAACATAACTTATAATCATTAGACCTTAATTTACTTCATTACATCAAATATAACCTCCTTACTAATAATTACTAGACCTTAATTTACTTCATTACATCAAATATAGCATCCTTACTTATAATCATTAGACCTTAATTTACTTCATTACATCAAATATAACCTCCTTACTAATAATTACTAGACCTTAATTTACTTCATTACATCAAATATAGCATCCTTACTAATAATTACTAGACCTTAATTTACTTCATTACATCAAATATAGCATCCTTACTTATAATTACTAGACCTTAATTTACTTTGTTATATCAAATATAACATCCTTACTTATAATTACTAGACCTTAATTTACTTCATTACATCAAATAAAACAACCTTACTTATAATTACTAGACCTTAATTTACTCTATTACATCAAATATAACATCCTTACTTATAATTACTAGACCTTAATTTACTCTATTACATCAAATATAACATCCTTACTTATAATTACTAGACCTTAATTTACTTTATTATATCAAATATAACATCCTTACTTATAATTACTAGACCTTAATTTACTTTATTACATCAAATGTAACACCCTTACTTATAATTACTAGACCTTAATTTACTTTATTACATCAAATGTAACATCCTTACTTATAATTACTAGACCTTAATTTACTTTATTACATCAAATGTAACATCCTTACTTATAATTACTAGACCTTAATTTACTTTATTACATCAAATGTAACATCCTTACTTATAATTACTAGACCTTAATTTGCTTCATTACATCAAATATAACAATCTTACTTGAAACCTCATGACATTAGAAAATGGGCTGTATTTTATTGATAAAAAAGTATATGATGACATTGAGGGTGTTCATTATAAATTATTTATAAGATAAGTCCAATTAACAATTATGTAAAGTATGTGTATTTGTATTTTTTTTTTTACAGTAATCTAAAAGCTCTCTCTTAAAGTATACAGATAGAAATGAAAGGGACAGTGTTGCCAATAGAATGTACATGTACTCGGGATATAGAATTTGTGAGATTGTGGTTTTGCTCATCATATCATCGTTCTATATATTAAAAAAAAACTTACGCAACCAGCTGTTCAACTTCGCTAGTTATTTGTAGATCATGACCCAAGAGATAGAGAGTAGATATTAGATCACTCCATTGCACCAGTTCACCCAATGGTCCACCTATAATTACAATAATACATTTACATTTTATTGTCATTCCCTATAAAGAACCTTTGCTAATAGTTTTCATTTATCAACCGATGAACTTACAAAATTTTCAAAGTGATTTCTGATGATTTTTATAATTAAAAAAAGATGTCTTCTCTATGGAATATGGCGTATGTATACACAACAACATTCAACTAAAAACAGACCTGCCATTCCTTCCATTGAACATGTAAAAATTCTGCGTTATAATTACTGGTAATAAATTCCTTAAATCAATGTAATAACACAACCAGAGTGCTAACTTACTTTAATTCAACATCTGGCTCTCATTTCTCAATATATCTTACTATCAATATATAATATCATTTTACCAAAATTTATTTTCAAAATTATTTATCTAATGTTTTACAATATCTTGGTGTTTTGTACTATGTCAATCACTTCTTTATGTCAGAACTATTAATATTTACATGAAAGCACATTATAATATTACCTACCTTTGAACTGATTTTCAGCAAATTTCCAACCTGACTGCTTTGATAGAAGACCTAAATGTACCAATATCTGAAAACATTAAAGGAAAATAATTGAAGAAGTGTCAAATAATATCAACATCTTAATAACAGATATTTCCATGTGGAAATATTAGAATGACTGAGCCCTTTTCATCCAGTTTGATGTCATAATTGACATAGGCTATCTAAAATGGGTGAATATAAACACAACATATCAAAACTTACTTTTTTCTTTGGTCTGTTGGCCATAGCCATATTTTTATTGAGATTCATAGCTGCTACAGACCAATTATCCCACATTCGGCTTATTCTCATCCTAATCCATGCATAACCTTGACGTTCATTTGGATCAACCAATAGTCTCATCAAATCACTTAAATTAGTTTTAATTTCAGCCTGAATTAGGAAAAAAAAAGTTTCACTAAAAGTAACTATCTTTGCAAAAGTCAAAGCTATTGATTTGTGCTATCTTCTCTATCATTAGCTAAGTGTAAGTGAATGAAAAAAGTTTAATTTTAGCAGCATACAAATAGTGAAGTTTACTTACCAAATTGATAGGATCATGATCTCTTAGTTTTATTCTCTTTGAACCACTCCAAGCTTTCTTTGGACAAAATCCTTCAACCTATCAAGAAAATAAGAACAAAAATAATTAAAAATAAAATAGTTCTTTTAAACCAAGAAAACATGTGTAAAAAAAAAACTCACATCATTCTCTAAGTTCATCAAAATAAATGATGAACATGATGAATGATCTTATTGATATTTTGTTAGATCATGTCTCCCATTGTACAATGTGACTTCAGGAAGAGAAAGAATAAAAATCTTTCCAAGATAATTTGTTTAAAGAGGGTAATCAGATGTATCATAAGACTTTAATAGTCACATTGAAATATCAGAGCCGAAAAAGCTACAATTTTTAACATTTATCAATCCTGTTAATGCTGTGCTATTTACACAATAACTGAATTGTACCTACCTCACTAAGATACATAATAAAAGAACAATCAGACCCGTCAACACCGTATGATGCATAACATTTATCTGATTTCCACATAGTCTTCATCCACTGTAACAAAACAGACATTCTAATTTCATCATATTACTCGTACACTTTCATTTTTAGGACTAAACTAAAAAATTTGTGACAGACGTTTGACTGAAAATGCAAATTGATGCAATCAGTGTTCCTGATACACATCAAAAATTAAAGAAGACCTCTTTACAATCCCTTTTATTTCAAATTCATAAAGTAATAATATGACCATTGGTGTGTAAATTTTCAACTTGTCAATCTTCAAAAAATAATATTTTATGCATAACAATCATAATCCTATCAATAAAGTTACATTTCAACGATGGTTCAGTGATCATATAATTGATAAAGAAACGTCACTTGGAACGTAACATTAATAATATAACAGTAATTGTTATGCATAAAGTATACCAGTATCATTTATTATAATCAATTACTAACTGCCACTTGAGGAAGTTATTACTTTTCCGAACATATATCATGGGAGAGATTCATGTTTTAATCAAACTTACATTCATTTTACCAACACAGTTAGGATAAAGTTTCATGTCTTCTTCAGTTAATACACAGTCTTCTTTTACACCCAATATTATATCTGATACAAAAATATATAGTAACTATAGTAGGTCATAGATTTTGATCATTTTTGAAATGGTGATATCAATCCAAATCCAATGATAAATTAAACTTGTAACTGACAATAAGCCAGACAAACAATAATTGTATTTATCTAAGATATGAGTGTTGATCTTGTTATCATTATGGGGATAAAACACTGCTTTATTCAATGACAAGACAAATGAACGCTATATCATATAAATGTATCATCATATAAATGTATCGTATCTATGTCATATTTAATTCATTCTAACCATGAGATATGTAAAATTTGTAATTCAATAGCTCAGATAGTACACTGTGTGCATCCATTATATCAGTGTTAACATGAAGGAATATTTCACAGTATAGTAGTATTGCATAGATTGACTATAATAATTTTAAACTTGTATCAATCTTATCTGTATGATTTAGAACCTTACAAACACAAACTGATTTAGAACCCTACAAGCACAAACTGATTTAGAACCTTACTAAAACAAACTGATTTAGAACCTTACAAACACAAACTGATTTAGAACCCTACAAGCACAAACTGATTTAGAACCTTACTAAAACAAACTGATTTAGAACCTTACAAACACAAACTGATTTAGACCCTTACAAACACAAACTGGTTTAGAACCTTACAAACACAAACTGATTTAGAACCTTACTAAAACATCCTGACTTAGAACCTTACAAACACAAACTGATTTAGAACCTTACAATCACAAACTGATTAAGAACCTTACAATCACAAACTGATTTAGAACTTTACTAAAACAAACTTATTTAGAACCTTACAAACACAAACTGATTTAGAACCTTACTAAAACAACCTGACTTAGAACCTTACAAACACAAACTGATTTAGAACCTTACAAACACAAACTGATTTAGAACCTTACAAACACAAACTGATTCAGAACTTTACTAAAACAAACTTATTTAAAACCTTACAAACACAAACTGATTTAGAACCTTACAAACACAAACTTATTTAGAACCTTACAAACACAATCTGATTTAGAACCTTACAAACACAAACTGATTTAGAACCTTACTAACACAACCTGACTTAGAACCTTACAAACACAAACTGATTTAGAACCTTACAATCACAAACTGATTTAGAACCTTACAAACACAAACTGATTTAAAACCTTACAAACACAAACTGATTTAGAACCTTACAAACATAAACTGATTTAGAACCTTACTAACACAACCTGACTTAGAACCTTACAAACACAAACTGATTTAGAACTTTACAAACAGAAACTGATTTAGAACCTTACTAACCAAAATGATTTAAAACCTTACTATCCAAAATGATTTAGAACCTTACAAACACAAACTGACTTAGAACCTTACTAACACAAACTGATTTAGAACCTTACAAACACAAACTGATTTAAAACCTTACAAACACAAACTGATTTAGAACCTTACTAACACAAACTGATTTAGAACCTTACAAAAAACAGTAAAAACACAATATGATTTAAAAGAGTATAACATAATATAATATAGAACAATACAGATAAGTAGAATAAAATCTTGAATGAACTTACCTTTGGCTTGTAAAACTGAGGAGACAGGGGGTAAATTTTTATTGGAAGCAAACTGAGAGGAATTTAAAGATGTACCATTAGTTATAAAAGTGAAGAAATTTTCCAATTTGTGTAGTCGTTCTAACATACTCTCTAGTAAAACTGCCATGGTCTTTTTTAAATCTACAACCAAGGTACCAACATGAAATCACTGTTAAAGGGACAGATGCGCCATCTTGGTTTGGGTTGATTTGTCTTGAATATATGTAAATAAGTCTTTAAAAGTACTAGAAATGTATGGAAATTCCTTCAAAAATATCTAACTAGGATTTTCTTTTCTCAAATTTTGATGGTGAGCTGTGAACACTATCAAAAAATTCCAGTTTCTGATACTAAGGAATGATTGGGAAAAAAATGGTGCATCTGTCCCTTTAAGTATGTTACCTTAGTTTACTGGTTACTGTTGACCTCTATACATTGCATTGACAAATAAGTCAAGAAAATCAAACAGTTATGATATAATACAGAATTATAGAATAGTTGTGATAATCTAGGTTGAAAAACTAGACTGAAAAAAAATAGGCCAAGCTAAAAAACCGAGATGAAAAGCCACGCTAAGAAACTGAGATGAAAAGCCACGCTAAGAAAGTAAAATGAAAAGCCAAGCTAAGAAACAAAAGTGGGAGCTTGGAGGACAAACTAGTTTGAAAAGTTAAGTTGAGAAAACAGGTTGAAAAGCCAGACTGAGAAACCAGGGCTAGACTGAGAAAACAGGTTGAAAAGCTAGATTGAGAAACCAGGTTGAAAAGCTTGACTGAGAAACCAGGTTGAAAAGCTAGACTGAGAAAACAGGTTGAAAAGCTAGACTGAGAAAACAGGTTAAAACGCTAGACTGAGAAACCTGGTTGAAAAGGTAGACTGAGAAACCTGGTTGAAAAGCTAGACTGAGAAACCGGATTGAAAAGTTAGACTTAGAAAACAGGTTGAAAAGCTAGACTGAGAAAACAGGTTAAAAAGCTAGACTGAAAAAACAGGTTGAAAAGCTAGACTGAGAAAACAGGTCAAAAGCTAGACTGAGAAAACAGGTTGAAAAAACCTAGACTGAGAAAACAGGTTAAAAAGCTAGACTGAGAAAACAGGTTGAAAAGAAAGGTGGTAAAAAGGTTAAAAAGCAAAGGTTGGAAAAAAGGTTAAAAAGCCAGACAGAGAAACTAGCTTGAAAAGTTAGGATAGAAAATTAATTTTTAGAAGTCACTCTACTTATTGGCTAATGCTTTCACATAATCTTCACTCAATCGGATTATCTCCATCTGCATAAAAATGAAGTCCACTGATTAGGCACTGACTTGAGGCTCTCTATTTTCTATTTCTGCTATACAAACTGTCAACAATATGTTAATTAATCCTTGTAAATTTGGAATTTCAGTCAATAGTGAGTTAATAAATTAATAGGTCAGATGCCGCAGATTTGCAACTTTCTGAGGCTAAATCTAACTACATTGGCTCTGGCCATCTTTAGAAATACCTTCAATATATGGAGCAAGTTTCAAAACAACAGAGTGTTAGATCTTAGTTCATCCATTATTCATGAGATATAAAATCTTAAGAATATTATTTATGACATCCAATAAGTGATTAAACTGTATTAACTAACCTTGAGAACCTCACTTTCTTTCTGTGGTCTGTCATTATAAGTTAAGGAAACGTTGACCAGAGTGACACACCATATGAGTACCACTATTAATATGACTGCTAACACCCGGCGGGAATACAGGTTTCGCAATAGCAGACGGCCGTAACGCATGGCTTTGATCATTCCTCATACCACAACCTGTAATAAAAATTTATAACCTTTTATTTATATGCAGCTGGTTGTTGATTCCTTGCATAAATACATGGTAAAGAAAGAAAGAAAACATTAGATAAGCTTATCACTCAGATTTCTGTTATGTTAAATTTGTCCAAACTATTCAAGTCCTCAAAGACAATTTGAAATCCTGCCAAATTTATCTAAGATCAGTCACAGCTTGTGTAATGTTCATGACATTAGGAAATCACATAATAAATCAATCAAGCAACACAATATTTGACAAATGTGCTAATAAAATCAGAAATTTGTTCATTTATAGAAGCCAGCTGAGGCAAATAAATATCTTAAAAATCAAATTACTAAACTAAAAATACAGGCAAGTTTGGTGTAACATTCCCTTATGATAAATGTACATTTTCAGAACTGATATTGTGTATATTGATTTAACAACTGATATTGTGTATGTTGATTTAACAACTGATATTGTGTATATTGATTTAACAACTGATATTGTGTATGTTGATTTAACAACTGATATTGTGTATGCTGATTTGACAACTGATATTGTGTATGTTGATTTGACAACTGATATTGTGTATGCTGATTTAACAACTGATATTGTGTATGCTGATTTAACAACTGATATTGTGTATGTTGATTCACCAACTGATATTGTGTATGCTGATTTAACAACTGATATTGTGTATGCTGATTTAACAACTGATATTGTGTATGTTGATTTAACAACTGATATCTGTGTGTTGATTTAACAACTGATATTATGTGCGTTGATTTAACAACTGATATTGTGTATGCTGATTTAACAACTGTTATTGTGTATGATGATTTAACAACTGATATTGTGTATGTTGATTTAACAACTGTTATTGTGTATGCTGATTTAACAACTAATTTTGTGTATGTTGATTTGACAACTGATATTGTGTACATTGATTTAACAACTGATATTGTGTGTGTTGATTTAACAACTGATATTGCGTATGTTGATTTAACAACTGATATTGTGTATGTTGATTTAACAACTGATATTGTGTATGCTGATTTGACAACTGATATTGTGTATGTTGATTTGACAACTGATATTGTGTATGCTGATTTAACAACTGATATTGTGTGTGTTGATTTAACAACTGATATTGCTATGTTGATATAACAACTGATATTGCGTATGTTGATATAACAACTGATATTGTGTATGTTGATTTAACAACTGATATCGTGTGTGTTGATTTAACAGCTGATATGGTGTGTGTTGATTTAACAACTGATATTGTGTATGCTGATTTAACAACTGATATTGTGTATGCTGATTTAACAACTGATATTGTGTATATTGATTTAACAAATTGGGTATGTTGATTTAACAACTGATATTGTGTATGTTGATTTAACAACTGATAATGTGTATGTTGATTTAACAACTGATATTGTGTATGTTGATTTAACAACTGATATTGTGTATGCTGATTTAACAACTGATATTGTGTATGTTGATTTAACAACTGATATTGTGTATGCTGATTTAACAACTGATATTGTGTATGCTGATTTAACAACTGATATTGTGTATGTTGATTTAACAACTGATATTGTGTATGTTGATATAACAACTGATATTGTGTATGTTGATTTAACAACTGATATTGTGTATGTTGATTTAACAACTGATATTGTGTATGCTGATTTAACAACTGATATTGTGTATGCTGATTTAACAACTGATATTGTGTATGCTGATTTAACAACTGATATTGTGTATATTGATTTAACAAATTGGGTATGTTGATTTAACAACTGATATTGTGTATGTTGATTTAACAACTGATATTGTGTATGCTGATTTAACAACTGATATTGTGTATGTTGATTTAACAACTGATATTGTGTATGCTGATTTAACAACTGATATTGTGTATGCTGATTTAACAACTGATATTGTGTATGTTGATTTAACAACTGATATTGTGTATATTGATTTAACAACTGATATTGTGTGTGTTGATTTAACAACTGATATTGTGTATGTTGATTTAACAACTGATATTGTGTATATTGATTTAACAACTGATATTGTGTATGTTGATTTAACAACTGATATTGTGTATGTTGATTTAACAACTGATATTGTGTATATTGATTTAACAACTGATATTGTGTATGTTGAATTAATATAGAAATTTATCCGCATAACGTATCTGAATGTTTCAACTAAAAAAAATCTAGTAATTAATTCTTTAATGTTCACCTAAACTTTACATGAAGGGTTAAACTAGGTCAAACTGCTTAATTTACAATTAGTACTCTCAGTTTTTACTTAACCCTTTTAAAACAAATTCAATTTGATCATGTCGATACATAGATATAAATAGCATAATGAAGATGTTTTACCAAAAAGCGGAATGCCCCTGATATTGTGTATGTTGGTTTTCTTATAAAAGAATAAGTTCATATACAATTCATGACTTATGGTTCAAATCGGCAAGGAATTTTTCAACTTTACGGATGCAATATTCAGCTCGGACATTGGTAATTTCTCATATCAAAGTCATGAATTGTATCTGTAAATTTAAATTTGGTTTCAAAGTCATATACTTATTAAATATCTGAACTTTATGTATTATGTGTTTTGTATTATACCTATTTATTTAATAATTTTGTATTATAGACAAACCTCAACCTAACCTGGATCAATTATCAGTATAACAAGAAAACTGATATATACAATATCAGTTTATATATAATTATGTAAATTATTTAGACATGAGATAATCAACCTACCGGTACTCTGTTTTAATACAACTCAATCAATAATGATCAAATATTGAAAAGAGATGAAATCAATAGAAGTTATCACATCTTAAGAATATACACTTTCATCTCATTAAGTATCATCTTTGAATTTCTATCTCACTAAGTACCATTAATGGTTGAGTAATTGTCTATGACTTTGTAAAATTGTTATAATAAGCTTGTTAGAACAATAAAATATGACTTATGTTTTCACCTGACATTGGTAGACTGCTGAAATTACATATAATTTTTATCTCTTTTTATATTTCTACTCTCTGACTACAATCTTTTTTGATTGAATTTTGGCTATCATTGAAATATAAATTACAAAATGCTACTGAGAGTCTTTGATTGCCTTTGGGTTGATGAAAATGTCAACCACTGGAAAATTTCTTATTTGTAAACCTGATTTCCTTGGGAAGGGAAGTGTGTCTATTTCAAACTACTGAGACATATATTTCTATGGACTCAAAGGCATTCTGAGATAAATGAAAATGATGGCTTGGGAAGAAACCAGACAGTGCCAGGGGAAACCCACAGTATCCCTT